TTCAAGTCTTCAGGTCTTGCAGGCTAGCTGGCTAGCCAGCTAGCCAGCTAGCTAGGCAGCTAGCTTGAGGGCAATGCTCCCAAAGCGCTTGCTGCAAGCTGAGCAGCAGCAGCATCTGCTGCTGCTGCTGCATCGACTGCTGTTGCTGCGGCTGCGGCAAACAACCTGCTGCTGCTGCTGTATCTGCTGCTGCTGCTGCACCTGCTGCTGCTGCTGCGTCTGCTGCTGCGTTTAGGTTTTCCGGGCGATGCTAACTGGGAAGTTCAAAGAAGGCTCTTCTTTGGCTTCGCCCAAGGCCCTCGAGCAGCAGCAGCAGCAGCAGCAGCAGCAAGTGCTGGAGCTTCCTTTGACGGGAATCTCAGAAAGTGCTCTGCTGAATTTGCTGCAGTGCATTCACACTGACACGTGGGGCACATGAAGGCTTGCGTTGCTGCTGCTGCTGCTGCTGCTGCTGCTGTGGCTGTGGGTGTTTTGCGTGTTCTGCTCTATCAGCGGTCTTAGCTGCTGCTGCAGTAGCCGCTTCTACTTCTGCTGCTGCTGCTGCTGCTGCTGCAGCTGCGAGGCCCTTTCTGGCAAGCAGTCCTCCATGGACTTGTGTCTCGAACTTCTCGTTGCTGCAGACCTATATGACGTGCCAGTAAGAACTCGTCTTGCTGCTGCTGCTGCTGCTGCTGCTGCTGCTGCTGCTGCTGCTTGTTTTCGAAATTTAGCTTTCACCGTGCGGCTCTATTCTAGCCGCTAGACCGCCAGCTAACCTAGCTAGCTGGCTGCCTGGCTAGCTGCCTGGCTAGCTGCCTGGCTAGCTGCCTGGCTAGCTAGCTGTCTAGCTAGCTAGCTGTTTAGCTAGCTACCCTTTTGGCTTACTAGTTAGCTAGCTAGAAAGATGGCTGAAATTTATTTTTTCGCTGAGGGGCCCCTACAGATCATCGCATGCTGCTGCTGCTGCTGCTGCTGCTATTGCTGCTGTACTCACGCAATTTTCCATTGGCTGCTGCTGCTTCACCTACGCGTTCATCATTTGCTGCTGCTGCTGCTGTTGCTGCTGCTGCTGCTGCTGCTGGTGCAGAGCGTGTACTGGCGCTGCGTAGAGACTGCGCGGCGTCTTCTTACAAAGGCAAATTTCACAGCAGCAATTTTAACTGCCCAGCGCATCAGCTGCTCCCCCCTCATGCAGTCGGGTCAGTGAAGCTAGGGTTTAGGGTTTAGGGTTTAGGGTTTAGCGTTTAGGGTTTAGGGTTTAGGGTTTGGAGTAGGCACAGTGATACCTTCGCACTCAAAACGCCTTATCTCGACTGATAGCGAGCCTGGCTGAGGGCTTTGCAGCTGAAATCGAGGGCCGAAGGTTTAGGGTTTAGGGTTTAGGGTTTAGGGTTTGTGATCTTGCAGTCAAAGAGTTTGCCAACAGCTTGCCGGGGGCTGTTGTCGCCCAGCGGATGCTGCGCGCCTTTGAGACAGTGGAGTCCAGGAAGAGGCCGCAGCCGCAGCAGCAGCAGCAGCAGCAGCAGCACAAGCAGAAGAGGCAGCAGGTGACCCCCATCGCAGAAACGCAGCAGCAGCAGCAGCAGCAGCAGCAGCCGCCGCCGCTCGCGCTGCACCAACTGGAGGAGGAAGACCTTGAGGCGCCTGCGGCCTGTGTTTTTCCTTTGGAAGCTGCAGCAACAGATGGAGCAGCAGCTGCAGCAGCAGCAGCAGCAGCAGCACCAACCCCGCCGCTGTCACCTGCCGAAGCATCAGACTCTTCCCTATCTGACTCAGAGATCTGTCTGCCCGAGTCTGTGGCTGCTGCAGCAGAACCAGCAGCAGCAGCTGCAACACAGCCAGCAGCAGCAGCAGCAGCAGAACCAGCAGCACCAGCAGCTACAGTGGGAGGCGCAGCAGCAACAGAGTCACCAGCCGCAGAGGCAGCTGCAGCGCCAACTGCAGCAGCAGCATTTTCTGCAGCGACAGCAACAGCAACAGCAGCAGCGGCGACCGCAGCTCAAGATCTGCAGCTTAGTGCTATACAAGACTACGAAGCGCCAGCAGCAGCAACAGCAGCAGCAGCTGCTGCTGCTGCAACAGCAGCAGCAGCATCAGCTGCAACGCCAGCAGTAGCAACACCTCTACAAAAATGTGTAGAGGCCTCAGCAAACGAACTAGAAAGAAGCCAGAGCAGTTCTGCTGCTGCTGCTGCTGGGGCTACTACTGCTGTTGCAGGTGCTGCAGCGGCTGCTGGTGCTGCTGATGCTGGTACTTCTGCTGTCAGCAGCAACAGCAGCAGCTCCCACAGAAACTGCCAATGCAGCGAAAAGCCTGCTGCGGCTTGTGGGGCAGGCAGTCCCTGCAGCACGGGCAGCAGCAGCAGCAGCAGCAGCAGCAGCGGGGATAGCCGCGGCAGCAGCAGCAGCCGCAGCAGCAGCAGCAGCAACAGCCCCTGCAGCAAAATCACCTTGACAGCACTGCTGCACAAACCCCGCAGCTACTGGCGAGACGCTGAGGGTTTAACTCCTTTAAGAAGAAAGATATCAGCAGACCCTCATCGGCAGCAGCAGCAGCAGCAGCAGCAGCA